CTATACAGAGCTTAATTTTCATATTTAAACATAACATTTCAGAAAACATGTAATACACACCAATTGTCTTAATGTATTAAGAGATGAGAACGTATGGTGATATCTATTCGTTATACTCTATTCACCTGTAGTGTTTTGCCTTATTGCTGGTGTTGTTCAAGACTTGATTCTCATCCACTGTATATCCAGTTTTAACCACTTGAGAAAGCTGAACACCTGACAGCGGTGAGAGCTGTCTGCTAGTTTAACATGTGTAAGAATATTTGTCAGGCACATTAGCTCACTGTGGGGTTCCCATTGTGTGTAAGGAGGCGGCCTTCAAAACCCCCATTACATTCCCTTTCTGTCTTTTAGGGTGCTCTGTGTAGGAGGCTATGTGGGATTCCCCATACAACAAGTCAAAAAGCACATAGGAACCTGCCTCTGCTCGTCGACAGAATACCCGCTCTAAGCAGAATCCTTCGTGTCAGGACAGAGGAGGGTGCGGAGGACAAAGAGAGCAGCCGAGGAGCAGCAGTCAGTCAGTCAGACTCGGGAAGAGTGTGGGCAGCAGCATTCTGCCTCCTGAGTAGCCGGGGGTCTTCTATAGCTTGGCTGGCTCATCATTACTTTTCAGGCCAGACTTCAGCCAGGTGAAAGAGGTGACAGGCCGTCCTCCTACACGCAGATTCCTGACAGAAGAAGAGCGACAGGAAGTGCCACACACATAATAGAGCTCACTACTTACTGCGCACTATGCGCTGTATATCGCCTATGGTAACACTTCATTCTGATAGTCCACTTGAGACATTGTGCTAACTATAAGTAATTTTGCAATTGTTTGTCAACTACCAGTCATTAGATTATTAGTAGGCTGTCTCCTTAATATCTGCTAACAATTTCTTTTGATGGTCCCAAACAAACATTCTATGTAAGTACTGTAAGTAACTTTGTAAGTACATGTCAACTCTAACCCTAAACTAACAGTCTACTAAAACCCTAAAGCGAGTTAACTGGCATGCAGTTTCAAAATAAAGAGAGTTTGTTGTAATTAGAGTCATTTCAAAGCTACTTAGAGTTAGCAGAATGTCTAAAGTGGACTATCGAAATAAAGTGTAGCCTCACCAACAAATGTTAAGTTTTAACAGTAGGCATTATTTCACATTAAACATTGCAAACAGTAGTATTTTACAGTGTTGTCACATGACCTCACTACTTTAATACAGTAAATTATGATAAGCACCTTACCAGAAAAAAAAGTTATTTTGTAATTTTTTTTTATCCAATTTTGCGTACATTTTTTTTTTTTGATTTTTAAGATTTTAAGATAAGATATTTTTTAATGTTTTCTTTTTTAAAGAAGTCTCTTATGCTCTCCAAGGCTGCATTTATTTGATCAAAGATACAGTAAAAACAGCAATAATATTGTGAAATATTTTGGTAACACTTTACTTGAAGGGGTGTGCATAAGACTGACATGACACTTTCATAATCATGACATGACACATGTCATGAATATGAAGGAGGTTTTATGCATGTTTATGACAACTGTCATTAAGTGTCATTCGCTCAGTTTTGTCATTTTTAATGCAAATATAACATTATTTGACCTAACCCTAACCTAACCCTATCCCTACCCTTACCCCTAACCATAACAAAGACATCTCAAATAATGTCATCTTTGCATAAAAAATTACATAACTGAGCGAATGACTCTTAATGACAGTTGTCATAAACATGCATAAAAAACCTTCATATTCATGACATGTGTCATGTCATGATTATGTAGGTGTCATGTCATGATTATGAAGGTGTCATGTCAGTCTTATGCACACCCCTTCAAGTAAAGTGTAACCAATATTTTTTGTTTTCGATTTTTTAATAGATTTCAAATGAATTCATTTCTGTGAATTGCATTCAGAAAAGGTGCAGACAATACAGAATACACATACTATACACTTCTGAAGAAATCAGAGCAGTATGATCGAATGCTCTTCTGAACATAAAACACCTAGCCATGGTGCTTCAGAACATCACATAGCTAATATCCCGCTCAGAAGACATCATTCATGTTCTAAATAAAGGATCGGTCGCACAAATGTCAAGTTAGCAGCATGTGAAGCAGGTTCACAATGAATCCCACATATACACGGCAGTTAGGATCGCTTTGAAGGAGAAAAGCAGGCTAACTTTGCACCTCAGAGGTCAGAACAAAGGCAACTCTGTTCCAGTGGCCTGCTGTACATGAACGGACAGATTTTTTTTTTTCAATGAGTTATGACTCGATTCACATTTGTCCGTTGTCTCGATGGACACCCACAGTGTTCCAGCGACTGCCTTCTGATACAGTACACAAAACACAGAGAGAGAGAGAGCTATGCAGTGTCCCTGCTAAATATGGATTATTCACACTTATGGTTGAGTCATGAATCACAAACATTATATCTGTCTGAAGTTTTGCGGAAGAATTCCGTTTTCAAATGTCTGTTGAAATGTCATGAATGAGATCTCTTTAATACGTCGATTGATTATCTTGGACAGCAATGAGATTTAATGGAGAGCAAACGATTTTTGTGTCTCCAATTAGTAACCTCACATCTCTCCTGTTGAGTTTCTGGAGAGACCTCAACAGCAGCTCAAACTATGCTCAGATTTGGCGCGATACCAAGATATTTCAATGTGAACAAAAATTTGTCATCAAATTCTTGCCAGACCAAATGATTTGACCTATGCCATCAACATTCACCGACTCATTTGTGTCCTTTTCTATTTCTCCTGAGCAATTTTTTGAGAGACAATGAAACAACGCTGAACTAAACTGAACTGAATAATGACGCTATTGTCTTCTGTAGAGCTGCTTTACAACTAAAAGTGAAGTTGTTTAGTAACTGTATCAATTTGTTTTTACTATTGATTACCGTGAAGCTGCTTTGAAATAATCCGTATTGTATAAGGTGCTATATAAATAAATGTGACTTGACATGGCTGAAAAGTCACATTAGCTTTGAAAGAGTAACTTCTGAGCAATATAAATTGAATAAACTGTAATATCATTTGAATGTAAAAGCAATCAATCAAGCAAATGCAGCAAAAGACTCAAAGGTTTTTGTATGAAATGTGCATTACCTGGCCTTATATGGCCCTGAGTGCTGTGAGTGTATGGCAGGGCAGAGTTTAGGCTGGGATTCATGAGGTTGTATCTGATCCAGTTCAGTTTTATATTAGCAGTAATTGAAGCACATTCGGATAAAGCAAGTGGCACTTGACAACAAAAACAAAGTACTTGAGCCGATGACGTCATCGGTTAATAAGTGCACTCTTTGAATGGACAAAATATTATGCTGTGCAAGGAATCTCCAACCGCTGGACAGAAAAACACAGAGCATGTAACACTGCTTGTGTCTTTTATGCATGTATCTGATATAGATTCAGTGCTTTTCACATTGTTACTCTGAGTGACACATAGCAGGGATATCAAATACTCCTTAAAAGGAACACTTCACTATTTTTGAAAATAGGCTCATTTTCCAACTCCCCTAGAGTTGAACAGTTGAGTTTTACCGTTTTCGAATCCATTCGGCCGATCTCCGGGTCTGGCGGTAGCACTTTTAGCTTAGCTTAGCATAGATCATTGAATCTGATTAGACCGTTAGCATCTCGCTAAAAAATGACCAAAGAGTTTCGATATTTTTCCTATTTAAAACTTGACTCTTCTGTAGTTACATCGTGTACTAAGACCGACGGAAACTAGGAACTATATTCTCATTCCGGCGTAATAATCAAGGAACTTTGCTGCCGTACCATGGGTGCAGCAGGTGGAATGATATTATGCAGCGCCTGAAATAGGCTAACTTCCGTCAACATAAACAACGTGACCACCTGCTTGCACAGGGAGCGTGCTGGGGACTATTTTCAGGCGCTGCGTAATATCATTGCGCCTGCTGCACCCATGGTACGGCAGCAAAGATCCTTGATTATTACGCTGGAATGAGAGTATAGTTCCTAGCCATATCGGCCTAGAAAATCGCAACTTTTCATTTTCCGTCGGATGTTACGATGTAACTACAGAAGAGTCAAGTTTTAAATAGGAAAAATATCGAAACTCTTTGGTCATTTTTGAGCGAGACGCTAACGGTCTAATCAGATTCAATGATCTATGCTAAGCTAAGCTAAAAGTGCTACCGCCAGACCCGGAGATCGGCCGAATGGATTCGAAAACGGTAAAACTCAACTGTTTAACTCTAGGGGAGTTGGAAAATGAGGAGTGTTCCTTTAAATGTTATATTGGGACCCATTTTATATTAAATGTCTTACTACTATGTACTAACATTTCAATGAATCATTTGATACAATGCACTTAATGTTTACATACACGTTTTTACATTGTAGTTACATTTTTAAAATGACCAAGTAATTACACCGATACACTGTAAAATAAATAAATAAATAAATAAAAATTACTTGAGTAGTTTTTAGAAGAAAATACAATTTCGGTCTTGCTACTTCAAACTGTCATATTTAATCGAATGTGTTACTTGCTGTTTCTTTGTCAATTATTTGTATATTAAAATAAATATATTTATTAATATGTTATATTAATTTATATTGTATGTTTATTTGTGTGTGTGTGTGTGTGTGTGTATATATATATATGTATGAAAATATATGAATATTTATGCTAAAATAATAATATGCCATATATATGCAAAGAACAAGAAAAAAGATTTACTATTATCTGTATTGCTTTGCTGTTATGTTGCTGTTTAAAAAAAAGTTATTTACATAACATTGTAATGACATTAGAAAAGAATACTGTTACGCGTATAAAACATATTTATATGATACTCCAAGGTGCTTCATATTATAGGTACAGGTCAAAAAAGAAAACATGGTGCATGTCTTAAAACAAGTACTCCTTTGCACTGTGATGGTACAAAGTCCGTCTTTATTTGTTAGTGATGATTGAATGTGTAGGACAACAGCGCCCTCTAGTGGTGAGGTAACACCACAGCATTCCACGACAGATTTTCAACACGGTTTCATCTAACGAGACACGTTTGATACTAAATCATGCCACTCGTTATGAACGGGATATGATTTCGCGTGATTTACTAAAAGTAGAAAAGACGAAAAGAGACGCGTTGTCACGTGTGACGCGGCGGTGACGTCGCGGAGGGGGAGTTGTTGTTGTCGTTGCTCGACTCTTGCAGCAGTGGAGCAGCAGCCGGTGAAACCAGAGTCTCTGGTGCCGGAGTAACGACAACAATGTGCCGATGAGTCTCTCGTGTAGCCGAGGCTGTAGTTGATGAAGGAATGGAGGTGCTGGACAGTCCTCTCAATCTCGTAAGTGTCTGTTTACAAATCCCATTAGCATGCTAGCAGCTGTTAGCTTAGCCGCATTTAACCTCTGAACAAATTCCAATCTAGCTGCGAAGAGTTTACCCGGAGCTTTAATTCACTTAACCGTGATGTGAAGACTCTGTATAACCCGTGTGCTATTTTAATGTAGTCTGTCTTAGTTAGCCTCCATGTGTGTTTATTTACTGCTGACAGCTGGTCCCCTTTAAACACACACACACACACACACTAACACTAACATATGACTCGAAATGTGTGATTTATTATTTCCTAGAGATGTATTATTTCCATTTATAACAGTACGTTACTGTTGGCAGTGTTGGGGAAAGTTACTTTTAAAAGTAATGCATTACAATATTGCGTTACTCCATAAAAAAAGTAACTAATTATGTTACTTAGTTACTTTTTATGGAAAGTAATGCGTTGCGTTACTTTTTTAAATCTGGACAGGGCTTGCTTGTTTGTTTTTAAAGGGGTCATATGATGCGATTTCAAGTTTTCCTTTCTCTTTGGAGTGTTACAAGTTGATTGTGCATAGATAAGATCCCTGAAATTGCAAAGACTAAAGTCTCAAAACCAAAGAGATATTCTTTATCAAAGTTAAGACTCTGACACCAAATACACAAAATAGTGATCTTTTAAAAAGCATCATATGACCCCTTTAAAATAAAACATTTCTATTTTTGGCAAATATAAAAGCCTTTCTCACCAAAAGTGAAATGAATAAGCCTCGGGCTGAAGGGAAAGTAAATGTACGTCCGTACAGTAGAATGCAGAAGAAGACATTTCAACACACTTCAGCAATAAAAAAAAAAAGGGTTCGTCTAGAGTAATTTGTGCTTATTAGTACGGTTGAACTGGATCATCGAAGCTCAGAAGCAAAGACATTGGTTAACAGAATGGGATTAAATACATAAAGCATATTTGTGTTGTTTAACATTTAATTATTGCAGGTTTGCGTCATATTCTGAGTTGTATTATTTGTATTCATTTTGAGGAATACTGAATCTGTTTTTTTTGTGTGAGTGAGATGAATTAATGCATATTCATATTTATTTTAGAACTACAGTAACATCTGATTTCTCTCAACATGTGGACAGGAGAGCTGTCACTCAATAAATTGCAAAAAAAAAAGTAACTTGCGCTACTTATTTGAAAAAGTAACTCGGATATTCTCTTGTAAATTAAAAAGTAATGCGTTACTTTACTAGTTACTTGAAAAAGTAATCTGATTACGTAAATCTTGTAATGCGTTACCCCCAACACTGACTGTTGGCTGTTCATGATATAATCCTGAAATTGGGATTATATCATGACATTTTTTTTGTTTTTTTTAAATTGAATAAAATTTTTGCTTTGCAAATTATATTATCAGTATAACAACAAAGCAGCAAAGATTAGAGATTTCTCTCTCTCGCCCTCACCGTTATTGTAATATTATGTTGGTATAAATGTCAATATAAATTAATAAACTGAAATAAATTAAAAACAATAAATGCATATTATATATAATATATTCTAATTTAGTTAGTATTCATAAGACCATCTTCCCCATTGTTGAAAGAGGGGGGCTTTTAAAAAGAGTACTTATTATGGAAATAATATACTTTAAATAATAAACTTAAGTACAAACTGAATTTAAAGTTATGGACACTTATTGCATGTTATTTCCAATTGAAAAAAAAAAATATATATATATTATATTTTAAATTAAAGTAGTTAAACTTGACCCACCTGAGTAGTGCATTTCTGTGTGTAATTTCATAATTCCTATCTCTTTGAAATATGTTTAAAGTGTACTGCTAAATGTACTGTGTTTATGGTAAACTAAATATCATGTCAGTGTCATCATGACAATGTCATTTCTGTTGAATCTTGTATTTGTTTTGTAATGATGATGTAATTTAGTGCATTTAAAATATATTAATTTGAAATGTAATATCAAATCACACACTGCAGCACAAATACCCCACATGTGCTTAAGTGTGCTAGGTAGCACATCAGAATAAGTGCACTTCTTTAAAGGCTGACAAAGGATTATTACAATGTACTTTAGATAAAAATGTTTAATTTGACGTTATTACAAAGTACACTTAAGTGGCCTTTTATTTCATTAATATTATATTATCTGCAAATACAGTTTTTTTTTAAAATGCACTTTTATGATTTGAAGTAGACTACAAGTACACATGCAATTAAGTGCACTTCTTTTTCACAAGGATCAATGGACGCAAGAACACCTAGCCATCTGTATAAAAAGTTCACATGATCAGTGTCAAAAATATACTTCTTTCCAAGTTTGAATTAGATTTTGACTGTCACATGTTCAGTGTGGTCTCAGATCCCACTGTAAACACTGAATACTTGTATCTGTACCGTGTTAACAAACTCCTAATGAAATAATGTCATCTCTTTCAGGCCCATCAACAGTGCAGGAAAGCAGAGCGCTTGCTGGCTGCTGGGAAATTTGAAGATGCCATCTCCTGCCACAGAAAAGCTGCAGGCTGGTTTCAGTTTTAGGCTCTATTCAGACACTAATTGTTTCTCTGTGAAAGTAAAGTCATATGACAGCTCAGTGATAAAACGTATGCATTCGGATGGTGATTTATTTAGTTCTGTGATCCAGTGAACTTGGGAATGTGGTCAGACACACGATTGTCAGGTGTACAGTACACACAATGTGTTATTGCTTGGACAATTCATTCATATTTATTTTAATAATAGGAAAACAATATCCTATTTGTTATTTAATTATGTAAATATTCTAGTTAAATACATAGAAAAATGGATGCACTATATTGTAAATGGTTTTCTGTCTTGCATTTTATCTCTAAAAATGAAGAATGTCATTGAACACAAACTCTTATTTACATAAGATAAACATTTGACCTGGCTCCTTGTTTGACTAGTAAAATGATTAGTTGTGCAAGCCTTAAAGTTGGCATGAAATGATCTTTTCTTCTTGAACAAGAAAAAATGTAGAGAGCAAGACTTGATTTTGTCCATCGAGAACTGATTGGATCATTGGATAAAAAAAAAAATGTAAAAAAAAAAATATATATATATATATATGTGTGTAAATTATGTGAAGTACTTAATTTTTTTAAAATGTTTTTTAAATTACTGAGAGGAGGTGCAACCAAAAATCAAAAAGCCATATCAGTTGAAAAAGGTGCAGCACTCACTCTTGAAGGGGTGTTTAAACATCTTAAAAATGTATTTCATAAGCTTACGGTTTTTTTGTTTGTTTGTTTTTTCAAAAGTTAGTGCGAAAGTTACCTTACACTGCTTGACAGTGGTCAAAAAGGATTTACAAAAAGATTGTATTGATTCCCTTCTTGTAAAGTCACAGATGTGGAATCAGACGGCACTTAAATGACCACACGACCTTGGAGTTTGTCAGAACGCAGTAGGTCATTCCGACATTCTGGATTCAAACAGCCATAAAATCACAGGCTAGCCATCCTCATGAGAAACAGTTGTCTTCAGAATAGGGCTTTAGTCTCCTTGGGTTTGTCTCACAAAGAACGCCAAAGCTTGGCTAGTCGAATTTGAGCCTAAACAATATTCTTGTATAATCTATGAGTAGCACTGGGCTCAACCTCTGATTGGACACCAGCCCTGGATGTGTGTGCTTACATTAGGGCTGCACGATAAATCGAAATGGAATCGAGATCTCGATTCGACAGAAGCTGAGATTGTCATGTGTATCTTTCAGTGAAGCACTGTTCTGTGATCAGCAGTAAATCTCCATCCGAAGGCCAGAGGGCGCTCTCGCACTGAAACCCCAAATACACCCCGCAGAAGAAATCAGAAAATGCCTGCCGCTGCAGCTGAATAAACTGAAGATTCAACTGCTTTCATTGATTCAACGTGACTAATAAACACACGACTACCGCAATATACGGTTTATCTGAGTTCTTCTTATTATAATTTTCATTAAAATAAAGTATATTAATAATGCAATGCCTTTATCACTGCTTAAATACTATGAAATATGTTGCGTGCCTTATTCTGTGTAAGAAGCCACATCATCTCACAGAAGCATTTTTTTCAAACACTCGACTGACATTATGAAGTGAGTTTGGAGTAAAAATTTTATTAAATGTGGTATTTTCACATGCTTTCAGATGGAGCAGCATTTACTTCACAGAGCCGTAGTTCACTGAAAAGCTATGCAAACAGCTGTCATTATCGCGAACGATTTCTTCGATTTCAGAATCGCGCAATAAAATCATCTGCGATTTTTTTTTTTTTGGCGAAACTTGTCAGTGAACTACAACACTGTGTAGTAAATGCTGCTCCATCTGAAAGCACGTGATGATGATTTCCTGCTGATTACAGAACCGGCTTTACTAACAAATTGTGCATGACAATCGCATTTGATTAATCGTGCAGCCCTAGCTTACATAACGTCATTTCTCCACAGAACTTCTCAAGGAGGCCATGAAGCTCACCGAGTGTGAACGGGTATGCCTATACGGTCCTCATTGTCCTGCATTTTCTTCATTATTATTTATTGTGGATAATGAGATGTTTCTTTCCTGCGTAGGCTCGCATGTCACTGGAGCTTCAGAGGGACAGTCACGTCAAGCAGCAGAGGCTGATTGAGGAGCAATGGAAGCAAGCAAAGCGAGAGGACAAGCCCAGAACACTCCAGCATGTCCCCGCCTCGGACCAAACGCCACGCCGCCACCTAGAGCCGGGCGGAACCGCCACGGACGTCTCCCAACCCTCTGAACGCGAGTATGACACCTGGTTGTACCTCCTGAAGAACAAAGGCACTGTCCCAGAGCCCTGCGCAGGCAGTAAAGCCCAGAAAGATGACAAAACCCGTCTGGAAGAGCAGCAGACCACCATCGACGACCTACGCAACCTGGTGGACCGACTGGTGTCCGAAAACGAGCAGCTGAAACGGGAGAACGAGCAGCTGCGGGCGGAGAACGTACGGCTGAAGAAGGAACCCTACGCTGATGCCGACTTCGTGGAGCGGTCGGAGCTGTGGGTGCTTCCACAGACTGCCGAGGAGCGCAAGGCCAAGGACATTCCCATCCCACAGCTCCCTCCGCTGGAGATGCCCACTCAGGAGATCCCTCTGGAAGACCTGCCCGGCCTAGAGCTTCCTGAGGACATCCTGCAGGAGCTGTTGGACGGGAAGAAGCTGTGACCGCTCACACACCAAAGGGAGACTTCGAGCGCCATCGCGTGCCAGCGAACACACCGAGGAAGCACATTCACGGTGAAGCAGCCCAGCGGCGGAAATGACGGTTCACACGACCGTCCTACTCGACTTCTCAGTGGTGCCCTGTAGCGATTGGATACACAAAGAAAGAAAACAACGCTTGTTGAAGTATGTGTGCCTTTTTGAACATTTCTAACGTGTTTTTTGTTATGAAGTACGAGTGAAAAGGGACATTCCATTGAACACTCAGACGTTTTATCAGCAGGTGAATTTGCCTCTTGCAAAATCCCACTTTGAAATCGAAAACTATTTCCTACACGGACACTGTGAACTACAATCATAACGTGTGAGTGTGTGAGGGTTTTGTGCAGTATCTGTTGATCAGCGCCATCCATGTTGATGTTGTGCTTATGCCGTTTCAGTCGTCTATCAACAGTGCAGATTTAGGGCATAGAGGAAGCCAAGAGGCATCAATGCAATTAGTTATGCATTCTGTTTCCATACACTGATAACCAGCTTGCAGCACTTGTTTTGCCTTATTGCAATTAGTACAAAGCCCAGGCATGATGTCATCTCTGGACGATTTGTAGCAGCAGCCTGTAAAACGAAAACAGCTGTGGTTTATTTTGAGGCTGAACATGAGTGTGAGTCTATTGCATTCGGAACGATAAGCAATAATCATGTCAAGTGCTACAGAATCACTCATTCATTTAGTTGTTTCTCATCTCCGCTGACTTCTCTGAATTCCTGCTCCGCTGTGTCAGTCTTCAGACGCAATGCCAACAGCATAGGAATGGACATGTCCTGAAAGCTTCGCTCTTTGGACCTGTGTGAAGTCTGAATGAACTGAGGATGTTGTTTGTTGTTTTGAAGCTTCGTTTGTACTGTACTCCTCAATCAAGGATTGTCTGGATCACGGTGTTAATATTTTCAGGTAACTGATTGCACAATCATACCTTGCTCTAACAATAAACCAGGTCCTCACACTAATCAAAAGCTTACCAACATGTGCCAGACGCGCCTGGGAAGAGATGAATTTATGGCTTATATTTGTGTCATGAAGAGGGAACCAAATCCACATTTTGCTCTTTTTATTTTGTTTTTAGTTCAATGTTTAATTACTGGTTTACCACAGTAATCAGGGTACATCAGATTGGTTTTTTATTTTTAATTTTGTTTTGTGATGTTAAAAAAACCAATGAAAATCATGATGAAAATGTTTTGATGCATGAATGGCTGTTCTACGGTAGCTGTACGTATATATGATTAAGATATTGAAAACAATAATTTATGTATAATTATTTTGTGAGTTTACTTATTCTGACAAGCATTAAAGATTTTAACAAGTGGCAGCATAAATCTGTTCTTGAGTTGTTTGTCCAGCTGCTTGTACGCTATTTCTAATACAGTATATTGAAAATATACTACAATAGGACAAATATTCCATGCAGTCTATTGAACAGGAGCTCATAAAAGCTGCATTCATCATTTTAAAAGAATGTTTCAATTTGTTTTTAATGGAATATAGCATAGTCACGCTACACATAAACTTGCCATAGTTCATGTTAATTGCCCACTAATGCAAACAGGTCTAAATTAGTCACTGATTTTGAAAAATGTATTACATGTTTTTTTAAGGTTTGTATAAATCATTAAACTGTAAGATTCTTTATCAGAGAGACTTTAGAATGGTAGTGACTGCACTACAAATGAGTGTACATTGCATCATATCTAAATTCCCTCAACAGCCCCCTCTGGTGTTCAATGAGTGAATGACAGCATGTGTTCAAAAGTGGGCAAAGTCTATTGGGCAGCAAATCCAGAATTAGATTTTCTCAATAAGACTCTGGCTTGTGAAAAGTGGGCATTACATACTAAACAAGCACTAGAGCTGACTGTTTGGCTATTGGTTAACATTTTTTTTAAGAAAGTAGTTTTAGAGGTGAAGCACATTTTGATTACGAGAATATATATATATATATATATATATATATATATATATATATATATATGGCCAAACACAGAATATCTCCTATAGATAATTTGAACCTTTCATCTTGTCAATAAAGCAAAAGGCAGCCAGATATTTGATAAATCCATTTTAATGGAAAATGTAAAACCCCTTTGAACTTCAATGTACAAAGCATGTAACACTTGCACTTTAAAATTTGAAATTGAAGCAAGCCATGTTTAAAAAAATACATCGGTGAATGTATATATGTATAAATTTACACAGCATAGTACGATTTGCTTTTTCCACTGAACTTCAAAAGTTCGCCATAGTAAATCTGAACATAAAAAGGAAGAAACAAGACCGTTTTTTCTTGAATAAATTACTTTTTTTTGAAAATGTCTCCATTTTACAGTAAATACGTTTTAATAAAATGCTGAAGTGTTATTCATTAAGTCTTTCTTTACATAATAGAACTTTACAATGTTTACAATTGTTTGGCAGTTCTTTTTCTCAAAAGATATGGCATGAGGACACGAGACAGCGGATCTCTCTCACAGTAACTCCCAAGTCTCCAAAGTAGTAGTGAGCGCCATCAGAAATCCATTAGCAAACTGTACAAGTCACATTTACATTTGATCGAGAACAGAGCGTAGAACTCACTAAAAATAAATACGATTCTCCACTGAAACTATACAGTATGAAAGAACAAAAGGGGAACGAAACCAAACAGACAAACAAACACTAGATTCTCTTTAGAAGTGTGGCGTGTCAGTCACAGTCATCCTGGTGCCCTATACTGCTATGGTGTCAGTAACAAAAACAGTTTACTGGTGGTTTTTCTCTGCTTGGCACTGGAGGTTCGCGGCGAGCGTTAGTGTGCATATTTGGGGGAACGTGTCGACGAGTGTGTCATGAGTTCATCTCCTCCTCTTCCTCTGCGCAGCACCTCTTTAATGTCCCCACAGCATCCTTCACGCAGTGGTAAAAGATGTTCTTGACCTGAGAGAAACGGCAGGCTGTTAGAATCACGTGACATGATGAGAGACGTCTGAAATGGCATGGCAACTGATGAAAGTTCGTCCGGCAGACTGCAGTGCTGAGAAACATCAGGAAACTGAGAAGTACAAACACTAAACTAAGAGTGCAACGGTGTTGTGGGAATTTTCTATTTCAATAAAAGTATGAGACGAAAGTCTTTTGAAGATCTATTTTCTTGCAAGAAAAGGTCAACAGTCATATAGATGGCTGCAGAGTGTGACAAAGAGGCAACACCCCAACTCAACATTTATACCTTCATCAAATGCGGATGCTTTGATCTCATCCAATCATAATGCATATTCAACTTATACGTCCATTTAAGGTGTCTAACTATGTCCTCCAGATGCGTTTCTAAGAAGCCAGGACATCTAAAAAGCTGACAACATTTTCCTGTCTCACACTTAGATTTCCTGTCATCTCTTATCTCAGGACAAACTTAAGCACCTTAATGAGGCATTTAGAGAAGAAAGAACACTCTTTAGTAGAGTAAAGCAAATAAAACTACTAATAATATAAATGTAGAATACAATTCCCTCCACACAGTGTGTCTGCAGAGATTTTAAAATATCATTTTAAGACCTATACAAATAACGCATGTCCATGCACAACGAAACCAAAATATACAATTTATCTCAAAGTTTAAAAGTTTAAAATATTCAAGACATGTTGCACATATGTATTGAAATTGAATTGGGTACTAATATATCAATACATGAATTAGAAGTTGATTGATATTGGATTTTACAAATAAAATGATAATGTGTTTTTAAAAGGCAAAAAAAATGACATTATTGTGCCAATACTAATAAAATCTATATTCTGAATGTGTTAAATATAAGGGTGACAAGTGATTTAAATCTATAATTTAATGAATTACATGATTTGCCAATTAATTCATCAAATTTACTGCAATTTAATCCTTTTAATTCATGTTTCTATGCAAACAAAATTGACTTTTAATTATAAATGAGCCCAAAATCCACTGGGACTTTTATTTTGGAATGTATTTGCTTTACTACTTCCAGCTGCTCATTCAAAAACATGAGGGAGATCAAATGTGCACTCTTGCAACCACCTACAAAATATTACAGTGTAAAGATCACAAAGGAAACAGTCATAATTCATCAGTAGTGGATCATATTGGCTGCAAACTGCTCTGAATCCACGTTCCTGTAGAACGTGTAACAGCACTGCATCTTCAAACATGCAGCGCTCACATTTATTTAATTAAACCATTGTCTTTTGAAATTTAATAATCAATCACATTAGGTCGTATCGCCACATTTGTTACAGCATTTAACATATTTAAAACTTTTTAGGACCTTAAACTAAATTTGAGACATTTTTAGGACCCAGTGAATCCTGATATTTGTAACGTTTATGCTATCTCATGTCTAACGATGCATCTGAAAATATACATATTAAATGTGTTATTTTGTGAGGAGAGTATTTGAGTTTATAACACAAGTGGAAGCAAACAGACTGCATGTTTGTGTAACAATCTAAAGAGCAACAAATCATAGAGACTGTGATCCAGCTCAGGTCTTTATATTCCGAAAAATGTTGACATGTTGCGATATTTCCAGTTTGAACTCTTACCTGTAGCTTATCTTCATAGTTGATTTCCTCTTCGGAGGATCTGAGTTCCTGGGTTAAGTGGAACGAATGCACCACATGCTCCGGAGAGACAAAGTCGTTGATCACCTGGACGCAGCTGTGCAGGTTTTGCACCTGTACGGATGAGAGACACACAAATCTGAGTGCGCAGTGATGTGACAAATATCAGAAAGATGATGGTGCTCTGGAACTTCAGCTAGGTCAGAAAGAGGACGTTTGACTGTGATTGTGATTTTGCTGAAAACCTGTATTACGCAATCTACTACATGCCTTCAGTCACCTGATTGACATTATAATTTAGCAAGTAAAATGCCTTTTAGTATAATTGTTCAAACAGATCGTGGTCTTTTACCAATCTTTACTGGTAAATGTAAGAGTAACTTTTATATTGTCAGTAATATTACAACATTTACTAAACTGAAGCAACTTAAGTTGATTATCCATACATTATTTTTTAGAAAAATTTAAAATCAAGCTATCAAATATGATACATCAGGTTTCTGAGGAACGTTTATTTGTTCATCTCTCAATCATCACTGTATTGCATTGCATTATGTTTTGCCCTCCACAACTACAGAGCTTTGATCATGAAGCTAAGCATTTAGATTTCAGCTTACTAAGACATACTATTGGGAGATTGAGTTTGACAACCTATATTTATATGCATTTTACGTAAGTTATATTGTTATAAATATCTCATTGATTTACATTACAAACTGTCAGAATTTCATCTTACGTTTTGTCCAAATAAATATCAACAACTGCACCAATAATATTTTTGCTCAGTTTGGGCCACTGGTGTTGGTGTTTCATATACGATACTCTACACATATGAAACCCTTTATTATTATTATTATTATTTTGATTCAATAAACCATTTCATTTCGAATAAATAGATTTTTCTAACTATTAGGCTTTACACGGTTAAAGTGAAGTTAAAAGCATTAGCTTTTCATTTTTTTTTTGTTGATGTTTTAAATAATTAAAAGATATTCAGACAAAGTGTGGCTTAAGTGTTTTAACAATTTTTAGCAACAATGTAAACAAAACAGTGAGCTTTGTTGCTTTCCATGTCTATAAAGTGGGGGTTTTTGGTCTGAATAATCAATAACACAACAAAAGCCCCAGAACGTAGTATATATCATGATTTGCTCATGTGATATCAGTGGTTTGAGCAGAATATGCAGACCTGGTGCAGAGCTCCAGCAGGGATCAGGACCGAATCACCCAGAAACTGCACCACAGTCCAGCCCTGAACGGCATATTCTTCCAGCAGCCGCTGACGCAGCTTACGGCTCAAGTACCAGCTGGGCTCACGGATCGGGTCGCGATCCACTGGGATCTCCACGCCCTGCTCTTTCGCCAACTGCCATGTCCAAACACACACAAACATTGAGTTAAAAAACAACAGCATATGCCCTAAAGATCTGCACACGCCAGAAAAACATGTGAAATGAATCCTTTAAAACTTCCTTGCAAAAGGTTTTATGAGGACACCCACTCAGAGAGAAAGAGAGAGAGAGAGAGAGCGAGCGTCACTGCAATGATCCACTGTATTATTTCAAGATCAGGGGAGAAATCAAATCAAAATAACCTTGTGCAGGAACTCTTTAATCTTCTCGCCGTCTTTGCTCGTGTAGATGTGCCACAAGGCTCCGGGAGTCTCGCTTGAGTCCTTTAATCTTTTCTTCACGTTGTCATCCAGATCTTCCTCCTCCAGCCTCTTCAGCACTCCTGTGTGTTTGGCACA